GAGATGGGGTCTCTGTCCCTCATCCTCCGTCTGTTTTGTCTCCGCCTTTCCCGGAGTTCTTTTCGAGACTCTCTGCACAATTTTAACTGTTCGACATACAGGTTCGCTGCTTTCCGCTGATTTGTACTCTGTAAACCAGATCCGAAACCTTCCGTATTATCGTATAAGGTCCTAGTCATTTCGGGCCAAGTTTCCGCCTCTTGATCATCTGCTTGCGGTACACAAGCTGTCCCGGGCGGTATTCGATTCTCCGTGCTCGCTTGTCTTAGCAAGTCTGCTGATCCCTTCTCACTTGGCTCGGCTTCTTCCTGGCTACTTGGCTAGCTTGCCTCAGTTTGCCGGCCAATCTCTTTACTGATTTTACCGCCGGTCCCCTTGATTCTGTGATCGTCTTCTCGTCGTCTGTCAGGTGGCTCAATTTTTCCTCCAGTAACTTCGGTATGTTCGCATTTTGTTCCCTCACTTTTGGGTCCCGTTGTCGGGGGTACCTATCCGTCTTCAGTACCTTCGGTCGGACGGTAACGTCATTCTTCGTGACGCCATCTATGATGTCGGTTTCCTTGACGTCATAGACATCAGCAACTTTCATCCCCACTTGCAACGTAATCCGCTCTTTACTGGTAGTAATCAGCTGTGCGGTGCAGTATACTGTCTCTTTCACACCTTGCCTCTCGCTGAGGTTGCTAGCTGTTTCCTTCGGTCGTTCACGCGCCTTGCGTGTCTTAAGTTCTATCAATGTCGAACTCGGAAGAAAGCTGGAAACTGTGCGGGCCGTACAAATTCCTCTATAGGGTATGTCCACTGGTTCGGCATGTACCCATGATGGATGCCTTCGGCGCGGATTTCCGCTGTTTATCTGTTATCTTGACCCTCGTATTCAAAAGTGTTCGAGGTTCTAGATGCACTCTGTGGCAACACTGCCTGCCACTTGTGGAGCCTTTCCACCTGCCCGTCTTCAGTCGTGGATTCCGTCACGCTGGATTTGGCTGAGGCCTCCTTTGCCTCCTCTACCACTGGTCCTCTAGACTGCTTGGTCGTCTTTATAGCCGTTTGTGTTCCTTCTTCTACGCTTCCACCTTCCTCCTTCCTGGCGGAGGGTTTATCAGTTTGACTCTCTGGCCGTCCAAGTTTAGTTCCTCGGCGGCTATGTCGATACGGGCGCTTAACTCTCTTAATAAATCTAGCCCTAATATTCCGTCCTTCTTGATCGGAAAGGGCGCTACCACAAAATCATGGGTGTAACACTTATCCCTATTGTAAATTGTAGTCGTCTCGTGCCTTCGATTTCCAATTCTTGGCCGACTATATCCCTAACCGCTTCCCTAATTTCCATCGTGGGCTCATCTCCCACATAAGGTTGAATTAGACAAACTTCCGCACCTGTGTCTATTATACACTGGTAGTCTGTCCCTTGGACGTTTACCTTAATACAGAACTCTTTGTTCTCTCGGACTGTTGCGACTGGTATACATGCGGCTTCTTCTCGGCGGCTGACTCCTTGTGGTCGTCTTATCGGCGATTCTCGTGGCAGCTTCCTGTGACTCCATGGCTGCTTGTGTCTTCTTGGACTCGCGGGTTCCTCCCTTCCAGTCATCACGGTTAGCGCCTCGTGGTCTCCGGGACGCACTTCCATCCGCTTGGCGTCGTGCACTACTGTGACTCTGTTCAACGCTGGTCCAAGGTCTCGGGGTTACGAATTCGTAATTCTCTTCCCGCTTTTCCTCGCATTCCATATATGAAACTCTTTAGAAGCCTAAAAGCAGCTTCTTCCTTCAGAATGTGCTGCTCAGTTTGGTCCACGCTTTTTCTTATTGTTTTGGATCTGAGTGCTCTGCACCTGTCCAAAAACTGTATGGGCGACTCTTCCTTTCCCTGTGTAGCTTCATGCAGTAGGTTATAGTAGTATCGCGCTGGCAATTTCTCACTAAATTGGCCTACAAGGGCTGGTTTCAACACCTCGTACTTCACTCTCTCGCCTGCGAGCTGGTCCCTACCATTCACAAATTGAAGGGCTTCCCCTGTTAACTTAGCCTTCAAAATGTTAGTTAAATCGTCTTCCGTCCAATTACTGACGCGAGCACACTGTTCCACCTGTGTCAAGAATTCTGTGACGGGCTTCGCCTTCGAATGCCCAGTCCATTCATATATACTCACCGCTAATAATAGGTCTCTCGTCTTCACCCCTATCGTTAGTCTCGTTAGTTGTTCTTCTAGTTGCGCTATCCTACCCTCCATTTTCTAATTAACTTTTAAACGCCGGGCTTTTGAAATGGTGGTAAGCTTGAGCTAGCGGGAGGTTATTTAAATGCTCGCTGCTGGTGCGCATTTAAATGCACGTTGCTACTCTGCGTTTAAATGTCCTTTCCTGTTAGGGCGCTTTAACAATTTTAAGCATTGTTTTTAAAAATGCTGTATTTAACTCAATTCTTGTGATAAATGGATGAAATTAACTTTGTGTGTTGCGCCCCAATTTTGAGATTGGAAATTTAAGGCATTACCTAAATGTTTCGAGACTTGCGAAAAGTGTTTTACAGCAATCGAGCAAAGATGACAACACATGGACTAGGGAACTAGGTTAAGAATGCTGATGATCAGCATTTATGCGTAATCGCGTAAGTAAGAAGCTCCGCTAACTGGGTCACTGGAGTATAGTAATATTATTAAATAAGCAGCAAAGAGGACCGCGAAATTACCCTTAGCCAATTAGAATATAACACGTAGGAAATTGAGGACGAAAGGAGGAGTTAACTTCCCTCTTTCGTCAACCGCAAATTCAGCAAGTTAAAGATATAAATTACTGAATTCAGGAGACTTAGGGATCTGATCTCAAACATAATATTCAGTTGTCAGCCGGAGGCTCTATTCAATATGGGTCTTACGAGTGTTGGAAGTTGGCCTACGTCTCTTATTCCAAGTAAGTCACGTTTACTCATATAAGCCATGTTGGTAAATATTATTGTTGATAAAAGTGTTGTGGAAAATGTTGAAAGCAAACTCCAGTGTGCCCGGCGAGCCCTTAGGGGAGAATAATTATGTAACAAGTAATTGCCTAGGAAGATAGCCCGGCAATATGGCTGTCGTTATGGTGTATGTGTTAAGATTACTGGTAGTGTGTAGACTACGCACATTTGCGTTATAGTACGACTAATGATTTTGGTGATAAATATGGTATGTGGGCTTTCCAGATGATAACTTTACGGGCAGATTATTTTAAGGGTGAAGCTTTACGATAGGATAGTGTAGTAGTAAATAATGAGTAGTAAGAAATGGAGACAGAAAAAAAGGTTCACGTTGAACAATGAATAACTGCGTATCCTCATTAGCCGAAACAGAGAGAGAGAGAGAGAGAGAGGCTCAAGGCCTACACCCCCGAAGGGGAGAACATGAGGAAGCGTAGCATGAATTAAAGACATTATGTAGTCCCGACCGTAGGTCGGTCTTGTTAATATTGTAAATAAGAGTGTAAATAGACAGGGTAGTGGACCAGTGATTGAGACTAGCTCTTTCTAAGGGGCCCAACTGAGTAGGTTTATCCTTTCCTACCCACCTGAGGACGGAGACAGATCCAGTCTCCGAAACGTCGTGGTTTTTTGTCTTTTACATACCAGACGATGGGTGAAGTCCAAAATAAGCCAAAAGAAGTACAGTATACACCATCGTCAGAATCCTTTCAATTTTTCCAAAAAGCAATCTGTTCCTAAGTTGTAATTATCGTGAAATTGACGACAAATGATTTTTTTTTGTTGGGAAAAAATGATTGTAAATACACAATAGGCCTAGGCAATGCCCATCCGGCCTGTGCGACAGATGACAAACAGGTCTGTCGACAGATCGTTCTATTGAGCAGAATTAATACTACTATAGGATTCTGACTATGGTGTATAACACACTGATATATTGGGTTTCTGGACTTTATCCATCGTCCTGGTTTTTAAAATAACAAATAAAAACACGACGTTTCGGAAACTGGATCTGTTTCCGTCCTCAGGTGAAGGAAAAGGGAAACACCTATTCTGTTGGGTCCAGGCTAAGCCAGGTCTCAGGTGTTTATAATCTTCATGTTTTGTGACATTGGTTTGTCCATTGATTGAGGCTAGCTCTTTCTAACGGACCCAACAGAATAGGTGTTTCCCTTTTCCTTCACCTGAGGACGGAAACAGATCCAGTTTCCGAAACGTCGTGTTTTTATTTGTTATCTTAAAAACCAGGACGATGGATGAAGTCCAGAAACCCAATATATCAGAATTAGTACTACTTGTACACCAGCCCGTTCCATCCTCTCTGTGCTCACTGTCATCTTGGTCATCTTTGTGTCTGCTGACTGTTGCTCACCACCGCTCACCACGACTGACCACCATTCCCACAAGTAGAACAAACTGTTGCGTTGTCAGTAGAGAACTTAACGGTCGCGATGGAGCTTTTGGGTATTCTTCAGGGAATCATTACCATCAATCGAGAGAAATTCAGTTTCCTCATATTTTTACAAATTATGGTGTTCGTGATGATATTCCGCTGTTGCAAGTTCTAGTTGTGATTGTGATAAACTTCGCAACGCCAATGCTGAGGGTCATGTTTCTAGTAATATGCACATTTTTACCGTTTTATGCCTTTTCTCGCCTGTTACACATACCTAATGAAGTCGTGAGAACTGATGGTCTGTATTGGTATGGTTGAAGTTGCAGGGCATACAGATGCATTTTTGCGGCTCTGCAATGTAGATTTGTAGAGTAGGCTGCTGTTTAAGGACGTAACTCCGTGCAGTCTGGTAGCTAGTTACCGACGTTTTGGAAGCAAGAGGTTTACTAAAAAAAGGTGAACTGTCTGCCTTCAAAAATTAACAACAATATGTTAGACTACACAACTTGTAATAAGACACTAAGCTTCTTAATCTCTGCCAGCCTCTACTGTGAGAAGAAAGAAGTCCATGTCAGTGTGTGTGTGTTCACAATAATTACTATGTTTCCTTACAGACGTGGGCAAATATTCAGAGCTAGGTACAGCTACACTTGTTAGAAATATGAGATTCTGCCTTCTCTATAGCTGGAATGCCGAGAATTCTGCTACAGTGAGCTGAAGAAACATTTCCTGCTGTGACAGAAAGGATGGTGAGTGTTTTGTGCTCGTGTGCACAGAAGAATTTTATCGTCATCAGTCAATTCTCATATCATAAGAAACCAAACTTTTTATGCCAAGCTTATGATAGTTTTCATAATCCAACTGGTGAGTTTACATTGTTCTTCTTATTGTAAAAATTTGCATTATTATGTGGGAGAGGTACCAATTCAAGGAGAGTGATATGGATATGTATGTAAGTAAGTAAGTGGTGGGCCATAAAAACCGCCCTGCACACTGCAACCTTCAATGATTCTTGTGCTTCCCCTTGGACGGGGGTTTCGGACTAGGTTTGTTTGTGTCTGGATGCGAAGTCATGATGGGCATGTGTGAACACAGTAATGAGTGCTTAGGTTCCATGAAGAGCAGATACGTATTGTCTGTACTTCCACAGGGACCACAGGTTTCTCAGGAAGGTCCCTGCATTTTGAAACTTAACACTTGCTAAGATAATGAAGTCTGTAGAGAAGAAATGTATACAGAGCAGCTGTTATGGGTTAGATGTAATGAGAAACAGCTACAGCAAGGAGAGCATATATTGTTTCATGTATGGTATTGTACAGCCATGACTGGTATAAGATGTGATGCCTTTACAGAACTACAAATTCAGAGGAGGTTTTAGTGGGTCCACATGGTGAGACATACCCAACAAATCATGATGCAAACCAGGCCATGAATATAAAAGCTGAGGAAGTCTCAGACTCACAAGAGGAAGTGGATCCTCTACAAATAACAGTTCAGGAGATAAAGGCTGAACCTGAGGTGAGCTGTATGTTTCTGTATGTCCACTGTTGGGCAGATATCACAGATAGGCAGGAATTCCAGTTGTCTATCTCATCTCCATCTGTCTTTGCACATAGAACAACTCCACTGTGCTGCTGACTCGCGTTTGGAGGCCTTTTCTGAAGTGTCACTAGATGGTTATAGTTTGTTGAATGTATGCTGCTTGTGATGTACCACTTCCATTTCCTTTTAAGCAGTTCTGATGTAGATGAAATTAAATTTTCTGTAAACTGAACTGTATTTGAAAGAAATTCTATAGCAGCAAAAATCCATGGGGAGTCATAGAACTGTTCGCATTTAGTTAACACATGTTAGAACCAAGAATTCAAATTACTATAACTCTTGTGAGTTAATTCCAATTAATCCCACAAGATATTTTTCATGTGATAAAAGTTACAAAAGATTCTGCATTCTCTTGCAACAAAAGTGGCAAGAATTGTACTGTATCGAGCTGAAAAAAACATTTCTTGCTGTGAGAGAAAGTACTGTGTTTCATGCTTGTGTGCACAGACAAGAGTTTTATTTTCATATGTCAGTTCTCTTGGTCAAAGAAATTAAATATTTTGTGACCCCGCATCTGTTTGTTTGCATAATCCATGTGGGGAGTTCCTTGGGTGATAACGGTTTGGGATATTATGTAGGAGAGTGGCGTCGGTAAGTCATGTAGTGCAGATGCAACAGAGAGAAATGCATACAAAGTTTTGGACATAAATCTCAAGAGAAGCAGGCCACTTGGGAGACCTAAGTGTGGATGGAGAGATGCTATTAAGCTAGATTTTAAAGAAATAATTTGAAAGGGTTTGTACTGGGGCTGTTTGCCTTAGGATACAGGGCCATGATTAGCATGTGTGGCCACAGTAATGAGCTCTTAGGTACTATAATTAACTCCATGTACTTGAGTGAGTCCTTGAGAAGCCACCAGTTGCTTGGCCACTGAAGAATTTCCCAACATGGTATATAACCTGAAAGTGTATTGACATGTTCGCAAAAACCCATCATAAGTCCCTATCCTGAACCATATGAATCCAGTCAACACCGCCCCATCCTATGTCTCTTAAAGATCCATTTAAATATTGTCTTCCTACCTATGCCTAGGTCTTCGTATTGATCTCTTAGATTCTAGCTTACTCAGCAAATCCTATATGCATTCCTCTTCTCCCCCCATATGAGCTGCCCATCTCATCCTCCTTGACTTGATCATATGATTATGCTTGGTGAACGAAGGTTACAAGTTGTTGTGCTCTTCATTATGATGTTTTTAGGTACCAAAACAAGCAGATATTTTCTCTGCTGCTGCAGTGACCCATAGTTTCTCGGGAAGGTCACAGAGCTATGAACCAAGTACTTTCTAGTGATCATGAGAGCTGTAGAGAAGAACATCCGTACAAAACAGCTCTTATGAGTTAAATGTGATGGGAAACAGCCATAGCAAGGAGAGCATGCACTGGTGTGGTGTTGTGCATCCATTTCTGAGAAGGATGTGATTGTTTTTACAGAACTGTACAAATTCGGAGAACGCTTTAGTGGGTCCATACGGTGAGAGATACCAAATACCTCATTATGCAAATCAGGCCATGAATGTAAAAGCTGAGGCAGTCTCAGGTGCAGAAGAGGAAGAGGATCCTGTCCCAATAACATTTCTAGAAATAAAGGCTGAACCTGAGGTGAGCTGTATGTGCACTGCTAGGCAGATGACACATATGTGCAGAAATGCCGCTTGTCTTGTCTGTGAACACAAAACAACTCCACTGTGCTGTTGACTAGATTTTGAAAGTCCCCCCCCATAGTGTAGTGCCTTGAATGTTGCATGTAATATACCACTCCCATTTTCGTTAAACAGATCTAATGTAGATGAAAATAGATCTTGTGTAAACTGAGCAGTGCTTTGGTACTACATCATAGGTTTCCAAGGATCTATAAATGTTGAAGTTTATCATTTGCTTTCTGTCTCCCATGCTAGAAGTGTCATTATGTTGAGGATGTGTAACGGGATAACCATTTATTCTCTTAAAGATTTGTGACAATGTGTGACAGACACATGTTGCCTGTTACTCTTTGTCTGAAGTAAATTTAACACTTTGCGGACCGCGCACGTTTTTAGAACACGATAAGTTGCAACGCACTATACATCTGTCTGGCGCCACCCAGCTTGCACGTAGCTGCCTGCAGCTGCGTGATAAGCCTCTGGAATGTTTGCTGACTAAGGCTGATTTCGCACCGGACCCATCTGAGCCAGTCACGTCCAGTCGCGTCGGACTCACGTTGACTCATCTGACTGGCTTCACATAGCAACACAAGGAAATGTCCTAATCTCTTTCAACTGCACGCGTCTTGCCCAGTCCAGTCCTGGCCAGTCAAGTCATGACTGGCCAGGACTCATCCGGTTGAATTTCTTGCCAGTCTTCGTGCGTCTCGCTCATAAGTCACACGCGCTTTAATCGGTTTCATGTGTAACATATTGTTGTAATATGGATGTCGAGAAACTGACTAGTGAGAA